ATTAAGAATGAAAAAATCCTAAAAATAAAATTTTAAGATGATGAAGATGAAAAGAAGTTGATGTTGGATTTTTGTTTGGTGTTGTTGCAGGAAACGTCCGATTCGCCTCACGGCTTAGGCGGTATTGCCAATGCGGGCGGTGGTAGTGGGTCTGGTGGTGGTGGTGGCGGCGGCCTTGCTGGCTCCTCCTCCGCCACAACTGGTAACACTGCCTCTAGCTATGTCCATGAACAACCACAAACGCCACCACCTTACACCTGCGTTTATTGTGGCGCGAGTTTTCCCAACCAAAATAAACTAACGCGCCATATACTATCGCACTCTCTTAAAACTCTGGAATATCGTGAAACCGCCACGCATGCTCTTCTACACCCGCACCTCTTGGCCCATGATCTTAACATGTCACCGCTGGCGTATCAAATGAATGCAGCGATGGCAAGTGCCAGCGGTGATGCCCAAGATCAGGCGGCAGCTGTGGCTGCAGCCGTTGCCATGGATATGGATTTCGCGGCAGCCATAGCGGCGGCTGGCGGTTGTCCCTTTCCCTCGCTGGCTAGCTGTACGGCACGTGGTCTAGATCTCGATGGTAGTGGTGGTCTTGGTGGCAGTGGAGGCGGCGGCGTTGGTGGTGGCTCTAGTTCATCTAGCCGAACAGGACGTGATGGCGTTGGTGGTGGAAATTCATCAGCCTCGGGTAATGGCGGTTGTCCCAGCAGCAGTTTGTCTTTATTAAGTGGCGCTGGTTCGTCAACATCGGCCGCTGCGGCGGCGGCAGCTGCTGCAGCAGCAGCCAGTTCGTCAGCATCGTCCAATGATCCGAATAGTGTTGTTTTGTGTAAGTTCTGTGGTAAAAGTTTTCCCGATGTAACCTCACTGATCACACATTTGCCGATACATACAGGTGATCGACCGTTCAAGTGTGAGTTTTGTGGTAAAGCGTTTAAATTGCGTCATCACATGAAAGATCATTGTCGTGTACATACAGGTAAGTAGATATTAATTTTATTTAATATTATTGTATTTTTTTTCTTGTGTGGTAAATGTATGATAAGGAAAAGAAACAAATATCGTATAGTTTTTGAATTGAAAATCACTTTCCGTTTTGATAAATTTGGAAGAATTATCTCACTAAACTCACTTTTAGAGGAAAATTCTTATATTAACCTTTCTCTAGAAAATATCTTCTCGGAACCTATTTGTAAAGGAAAATAACTTTCATTTGTATAGACAGGAGACATCTTTAGACCTAATTCTAGAAAAGTATCATATTTGGACTCACTTCTTTAGAAAATTTACTTCTCTGAATTCACTTTCAAAGATACACAATCAAGTCTACAGTTCTTTTCGTCAGTTGTTAATCTTTATACATTTCTATCGAATAGTTTCTCCTCACCATTTTTATGGACTTATCTATTGATAAGTCTATTAACTACTTTATGAATCAGTCGATAGGATGGTCGGTCTATGAACTATTCTATAGACAAGTCTATAAACTTGTCTGTGCACCAGTCTATTGAAAATTATATGAACTAGTTTTTTGACAAATCTTGAGGCCAGTCTGTGTAATATTCTAATGGCTAGTCTGTCGAATCTTCCGTGGTCTAGTTTATTGACTAGTCTAGGCTGTAGTTTAGTCTATGGAAAAGTCTATGAATTAGTTTTTGGACTAGTTTAATGGACTAGAGTTTTGTCTAGTCAAGTCGATAAACAAGTCTAAAGTCCATAAACAGGTGTATATATAAACTAGTCTGTTCTATGAACTAGTCTATTGACAAGTCTATAGACTATTCTATTGACTAGTCTTTGGACTACTCTATTGACTAGACTATGGATTACTAGTCTATGGACTAGTATAGAGCGGACTAGCCTATGAAATGTTTATTGACTAGTTAATGTACTGATCAATTGACTATGGACCGAACTAGCCTATGGAGTGGTATATGGACTATGGTATTGACTAGTTAATGAAGTTATCAATTAACTAGTTCATTTACAAGCTTCTAGAATAATCTATGGACTATTATTTTAAACTATTTGAAACTGGAGTAGTCTATTGACAAGTCTATAGACTATTCTATGGACTAGTTTATAAACTAGTCTACTGACAAGTCCCTAAATAAGTCTATGGTATGGACAACTGTTGATTAGTCTATGACTATTCTATGGACTAGTCTATTGACTATTCTATGGACATGTCTATAGACTAGTCTATTAGCTATTCTATTGAATAGTCTAGTCCACGGACTGTAACATGTAATGTTCAATAGTCGATAGATAAGTGTATGAACTTATCTGTGGGCTATTATTTGAACAAGTCTATTGAGAAGTCAATAAACTAATATAATGACAAGTCTATAGACTATTCTATTGTATAGTCTTTGGACTAATCTATTGACTAGACTATGGATTACTAGTCTATGGGCTAATCTTTTGGCTATAGAGCGGACTAGCCTATGAAGTGGTATGTGGACAATGCTGTTGTCTAGTTAATGTTCTTATCAATTGACTATGGACTGAATTAGCCTATGGAGTGGTATATGGACTATGTCATTGACTAGTTAATGAACTTATCAATTAACTAGTTTATTTACAAGAATATAATAGTCTATGGACTATTATTTTAAACTTTTTTAAACTGGACTAGTCTATTGACAAGTCTATAGACTAGTCTACTAACAAGTCCATAAATAAGTCTATGGTGTGGACAACTGTTGATTAGTCTATGACTATTCTATGGGCTAGTCTATTGACTATTCTATGGACAAGTCTATATACTAGTCTATTAGCTATTCTATTGACTAGTACAGTCCACGGACAGGAACATGTACTGTTCAATAGTCCTTAGATTAGTGTATGAACTTATCTATGGGATATTCTATGAACAAGTCTATTGAGACGTTTATAAACCAATATAATGACAAGTCTATAGAATATTCTATTGAATAGTATTTCTATTGATTAGATTACTACTCTATGGATTAGTGTATTGGCTATAGAGCGTACTAGCCTATGAAGTCGTATGTAGACTATGTTATTGGCTAGTTAATGTACTTATCAATTGACTATGGACCAGACAAACCTATAGAGTAGTATATGGACTATGCTAATGACTAGAGAATGAACAATTATGGAAGGAAGCGTATAGATTAGTCGTTGGACTATTATTTTAGACTGCGGACTAGATTATTTACTATTTTTATTGTTTCTTTTTCTTAAAATTACATTTTACCATATTTTACGCGAATAGTTATTATTAATTAATATTTTTTTATAAATACACATTTTTCAAGGTGAACGTCCATTTCGATGTCAAATGTGTGGTAAAACATTTTCACGATCGACAATATTGAAAGCCCACGAAAAAACACATTTTCCCAAATATGCAAGAAAGTTTTTATCACCCAGTCCGGTCGATACAAAGGATGAATTGCCGCAATAGTGAAACGATTTTAGTTTATTATTAAATTATTATTATTACTATTATTATTACTATAACAATAATAACAACAACAACAATAATAATAATAATAATTTTAACAACTACAACCTTAATAATAATAGTAATAGTAACAACAGCAACAATAACAACAACAACAACAATAGCAGCAGCAGTAACAACAACAGCAACCACTACAACAATATAAACGATAATAATCTACAGCAACATTATTATTGAAAAATAACAATTTATAAAACAAAAAACGATCCAAAAAAAGAAAAACAATAGAAATAATTTTGAACAAGAATTAGGAAACTACTATTAATATATATATATCTACAAAAACCATACATATTTATAGAGATATATACCTTTAAAAAAAGTATATTAAAAGAAAGGAAATATGTGAAAGAATAATATATATAAAAATGTATATACAACCAAACACTTAACACACATACACACAATGCTATTTTAAAGAAAATGGTAAAAAAATATTTTAGATTATAGCTTCTTAAAGAAGTTATAACAAAGCAACCCAAATATTTATTGAAGAAAATAATTCGTAAAAAAAAGTAACTATTATTTCATAATAGATTTGAGATGAAAAATATAAAACCCCGATACTGTCTGTTTGTATAAAATACATACAAATAAAACATTTTATACATAATTACATTACATACAATATATATTTAAAATATACATATACATATGATATGAGACAAAAAACATACATACATAAAACTGGAAACTAAAAATCAATTACACTCATATTTTTTATCACCAAAATGCTGAAAATATTTAAAAAAATATATAAAAATTAACTGATTTCGTTTAAAAGAAAATGGCCAACAATAATGCCCCTTATAACAAACAAAAAAATCTATAGACCAGATTTTTAAAATCTTAAAACAAGATAAAATTTCAAAACTTACGATACTTTTTAATAGCAAATGATAGAGTTGTTTAACATTTAAGCCACAATATTGCCCGCGAAAAAAGTATCGTAAGTTTTGAAATTTTATCTTGTTTTAAGATTTTAAAAATCTGGTCTATAGATTTTTTTGTTTGTTATAAGGGGCATTATTGTTGGCCATTTTCTTTAAACGAAATCAGTTAATTTTTATATATTTTTTTAAATATTTTCAGCATTTTGGTGATAAAAAATATGAGTGTAATTGATTTTTAGTTTCCAGTTTTATGTATGTATGTTTTTTGTCTCATATCATATGTATATGTATATTTTAAATATATATTGTATGTAATGTAATTATGTATAAAATGTTTTATTTGTATGTATTTTATACAAACAGACAGTATCGGGGTTTTATATTTTTCATCTCAAATCTATTATGAAATAATAGTTACTTTTTTTACGAATTATTTTCTTCAATAAATATTTTTGCTTTGTTATAACTTCTTTAAGAAGCTATAATCTAAAATTTTTTTACCATTTTCTTTAAAATAGCATTGTGTGTATGTGTGTTAAGTGTTTGGTTGTATATACATTTTTATATATATTATTCTTTCACATATTTCCTTTCTTTTAATATACTTTTTTAAAGGTATATATCTCTATAAATATGTATGGTTTTTGTAGATATATATATTTAATAGTAGTTTCCTAATTCTTGTTCAAAATTATTTCTATTGTTTTTCTTTTTTTGGATCGTTTTTTGTTTTATAAATTGTTATTTTTCAATAATAATGTTGCTGTAGATTATTATCGTTTATATTGTTGTAGTGGTTGCTGTTGTTGTTACTGCTGCTGCTATTGTTGTTGTTGTTGTTATTGTTGCTGTTGTTACTATTACTATTATTATTAAGGTTGTAGTTGTTAAAATTATTATTATTATTATTGTTGTTGTTGTTATTATTGTTATAGTAATAATAATAGTAATAATAATAATTTAATAATAAACTAAAATCGTTTCACTATTGCGGCAATTCATCCTTTGTATCGACCGGACTGGGTGATAAAAACTTTCTTGCATATTTGGGAAAATGTGTTTTTTCGTGGGCTTTCAATATTGTCGATCGTGAAAATGTTTTACCACACATTTGACATCGAAATGGACGTTCACCTTGAAAAATGTGTATTTATAAAAAAATATTAATTAATAATAACTATTCGCGTAAAATATGGTAAAATGTAATTTTAAGAAAAAGAAACAATAAAAATAGTAAATAATCTAGTCCGCAGTCTAAAATAATAGTCCAACGACTAATCTATACGCTTCCTTCCATAATTGTTCATTCTCTAGTCATTAGCATAGTCCATATACTACTCTATAGGTTTGTCTGGTCCATAGTCAATTGATAAGTACATTAACTAGCCAATAACATAGTCTACATACGACTTCATAGGCTAGTACGCTCTATAGCCAATACACTAATCCATAGAGTAGTAATCTAATCAATAGAAATACTATTCAATAGAATATTCTATAGACTTGTCATTATATTGGTTTATAAACGTCTCAATAGACTTGTTCATAGAATATCCCATAGATAAGTTCATACACTAATCTAAGGACTATTGAACAGTACATGTTCCTGTCCGTGGACTGTACTAGTCAATAGAATAGCTAATAGACTAGTATATAGACTTGTCCATAGAATAGTCAATAGACTAGCCCATAGAATAGTCATAGACTAATCAACAGTTGTCCACACCATAGACTTATTTATGGACTTGTTAGTAGACTAGTCTATAGACTTGTCAATAGACTAGTCCAGTTTAAAAAAGTTTAAAATAATAGTCCATAGACTATTATATTCTTGTAAATAAACTAGTTAATTGATAAGTTCATTAACTAGTCAATGACATAGTCCATATACCACTCCATAGGCTAATTCAGTCCATAGTCAATTGATAAGAACATTAACTAGACAACAGCATTGTCCACATACCACTTCATAGGCTAGTCCGCTCTATAGCCAAAAGATTAGCCCATAGACTAGTAATCCATAGTCTAGTCAATAGATTAGTCCAAAGACTATACAATAGAATAGTCTATAGACTTGTCATTATATTAGTTTATTGACTTCTCAATAGACTTGTTCAAATAATAGCCCACAGATAAGTTCATACACTTATCTATCGACTATTGAACATTACATGTTACAGTCCGTGGACTAGACTATTCAATAGAATAGCTAATAGACTAGTCTATAGACATGTCCATAGAATAGTCAATAGACTAGTCCATAGAATAGTCATAGACTAATCAACAGTTGTCCATACCATAGACTTATTTAGGGACTTGTCAGTAGACTAGTTTATAAACTAGTCCATAGAATAGTCTATAGACTTGTCAATAGACTACTCCAGTTTCAAATAGTTTAAAATAATAGTCCATAGATTATTCTAGAAGCTTGTAAATGAACTAGTTAATTGATAACTTCATTAACTAGTCAATACCATAGTCCATATACCACTCCATAGGCTAGTTCGGTCCATAGTCAATTGATCAGTACATTAACTAGTCAATAAACATTTCATAGGCTAGTCCGCTCTATACTAGTCCATAGACTAGTAATCCATAGTCTAGTCAATAGAGTAGTCCAAAGACTAGTCAATAGAATAGTCTATAGACTTGTCAATAGACTAGTTCATAGAACAGACTAGTTTATATATACACCTGTTTATGGACTTTAGACTTGTTTATCGACTTGACTAGACAAAACTCTAGTCCATTAAACTAGTCCAAAAACTAATTCATAGACTTTTCCATAGACTAAACTACAGCCTAGACTAGTCAATAAACTAGACCACGGAAGATTCGACAGACTAGCCATTAGAATATTACACAGACTGGCCTCAAGATTTGTCAAAAAACTAGTTCATATAATTTTCAATAGACTGGTGCACAGACAAGTTTATAGACTTGTCTATAGAATAGTTCATAGACCGACCATCCTATCGACTGATTCATAAAGTAGTTAATAGACTTATCAATAGATAAGTCCATAAAAATGGTGAGGAGAAACTATTCGATAGAAATGTATAAAGATTAACAACTGACGAAAAGAACTGTAGACTTGATTGTGTATCTTTGAAAGTGAATTCAGAGAAGTAAATTTTCTAAAGAAGTGAGTCCAAATATGATACTTTTCTAGAATTAGGTCTAAAGATGTCTCCTGTCTATACAAATGAAAGTTATTTTCCTTTACAAATAGGTTCCGAGAAGATATTTTCTAGAGAAAGGTTAATATAAGAATTTTCCTCTAAAAGTGAGTTTAGTGAGATAATTCTTCCAAATTTATCAAAACGGAAAGTGATTTTCAATTCAAAAACTATACGATATTTGTTTCTTTTCCTTATCATACATTTACCACACAAGAAAAAAAATACAATAATATTAAATAAAATTAATATCTACTTACCTGTATGTACACGACAATGATCTTTCATGTGATGACGCAATTTAAACGCTTTACCACAAAACTCACACTTGAACGGTCGATCACCTGTATGTATCGGCAAATGTGTGATCAGTGAGGTTACATCGGGAAAACTTTTACCACAGAACTTACACAAAACAACACTATTCGGATCATTGGACGATGCTGACGAACTGGCTGCTGCTGCAGCAGCTGCCGCCGCCGCAGCGGCCGATGTTGACGAACCAGCGCCACTTAATAAAGACAAACTGCTGCTGGGACAACCGCCATTACCCGAGGCTGATGAATTTCCACCACCAACGCCATCACGTCCTGTTCGGCTAGATGAACTAGAGCCACCACCAACGCCGCCGCCTCCACTGCCACCAAGACCACCACTACCATCGAGATCTAGACCACGTGCCGTACAGCTAGCCAGCGAGGGAAAGGGACAACCGCCAGCCGCCGCTATGGCTGCCGCGAAATCCATATCCATGGCAACGGCTGCAGCCACAGCTGCCGCCTGATCTTGGGCATCACCGCTGGCACTTGCCATCGCTGCATTCATTTGATACGCCAGCGGTGACATGTTAAGATCATGGGCCAAGAGGTGCGGGTGTAGAAGAGCATGCGTGGCGGTTTCACGATATTCCAGAGTTTTAAGAGAGTGCGATAGTATATGGCGCGTTAGTTTATTTTGGTTGGGAAAACTCGCGCCACAATAAACGCAGGTGTAAGGTGGTGGCGTTTGTGGTTGTTCATGGACATAGCTAGAGGCAGTGTTACCAGTTGTGGCGGAGGAGGAGCCAGCAAGGCCGCCGCCACCACCACCACCAGACCCACTACCACCGCCCGCATTGGCAATACCGCCTAAGCCGTGAGGCGAATCGGACGTTTCCTGCAACAACACCAAACAAAAATCCAACATCAACTTCTTTTCATCTTCATCATCTTAAAATTTTATTTTTAGGATTTTTCATTCTTAATTTTTCTTTTTGTTTTTGATTTTTATTTTCAAGATTAGAATTTAATAATTTTTGCTTTTCTTCTTCGTTTTCTTTGTCGTTTATAAAACGATTTTCTTTTTGTTTGTTTTTAAAATAAAATCGTTACAATTTTTATATTTAAAAGAATAGTAATTTTTTTTAAAAAAGAGTAAAAATAGAAAACAAAACGAAAAAATTATAAGTTCTATATTTTGTTGTTGTTTTTTTTTATAATTATAGTTTTACTTAAAACAAAAAAAAAAAATACAAATTGCGAAGAATAAAAATCATAAAAATATAGAAAAAAGTAGAAAGTTGAAAACAAAATATATTTTTCTTTAAAATCAAAAAAATATATTACGATTTTTATGTCCACAAAAGACCAATAAAATTATTACTGCAAAAATATAGAATAGAATTTTACTCAATAATTAAAAATAATAAAAAACAATTTATTTATTTTTATTTTTCATTTAAATGCCAAAAACAAGAGGGGCTTTTAGCGATTTTTGATTTCTCTCTTAATTTTTTTTTCATATCTGAACGTTGGTTGGTAATGCGAGTTTTTTTTTTTGTAAATTATATTGATTTTATTTTATTAAATTCCAAAATGTTTTTTTTTAGATACAAAACGTTGTTTGTTTTTCAGTTTATAAAATTAATATTTTAAATTATTTCTATGTTTTGCAAGAAGTTGAATTTCGATTTTGTTTGGGCGCCGTTAGAAACGTTTATTTTTTTTTGTGTTTGAAAATTTGCGGTTATTTTTTTTTAAACAGTCACGCACTTGTGGTGTTGTCAACTTAATTTTAAAACGGTACGTTAAAAATCGCGTATTTTAAAACTTTTTATGTTTAGTTTTTAAAATATTGTTTTTTTCTTGTTGTTTAAATAAAACATAACAAAAATACAAACAAATGATGAAAAAAGAGCGTTTGATTTTGTTTAATTTTTTTTGTTTAGTTTTTTTATTACATTTTACTAAAAATAATTTTGAAAAAAGGTGTTAAATATTGTTTTCTCTAATTTTAATAATTTTATTTATTCTTTTGCTATTTTGCCAATTTTGAAATGTTCCAAATTTGTAAATATTTTCTGTTTCGGTTTTTTGTTTATGCAAGACCCCTTTAAAGCGGCCACTTTTGTAACTTAAATTTAAAACAAAATTCCAGAATTTGATTTGATTTTTTTGGTAACAAAATTTTTTTTATAGTATATTAAAAAAAAAACAATTTTTATGAGCCGAATAAGTGTTGCAAATGAAATTTTATTTTCATAAAAATAAATTTCTTTGGTATTTTACAAATATTTTCAAGAAGTTTTTCCACTGCGTTTTTTCGTTTTTGTCTTTATTTCATTATTTTAATAAATTTTTTAAAAGCAATTTATTGTTGTTAATTAAAACATTAATTGTTTTTATTTAAATTACTTTTAGTCACTCTTTTTCCTTTTTTTGTTTATTTTATTAATTTAAATTGTAGTAACTTAGTCATTTCTTTTGCAAAGTATTAAATATAACATTTATTTTTAAAAAAGTATTTAAACAAAATAATAATACTTAAAAAAAACACATTAAATTAATTGCATAGCTGTAGCCATTTCCAAAAAACGTAGATCAACTTCTTGACAATAATTTAGTTATTTTTCTCTTCAATTTTTTTTCTTTAATTTTATAGAATGAAAATCATAACAGTTTACGCTGATTTTTGTTCTTTTTTTTTTTTTGCATAATTAAAATATTAATTTTAAATTTTTTCGTAATTTTGTTTCTTTTTTTTTTTTTTTGAAATTGGTGTCAATTTTAGTTTTATTGTAAGTCAAATATTTATTAATTTTGTGGATATTTATTCTTTCAAAATCTTTTCTATTAAAGTGGATATTCGGACTAATATATAATTTTGTTTGAAAAATTCTTTCAAATCTTCTTTGAAGTACATATTATATTTGGGGAAATTACAAATTTTACGCCTTAAAAGCTTGTATGTTAAACAAGTAAGAATGTATAGTTGGGCATTGCCGATCATATATTAACCCTACACCAGTGAGTTGAATGTAAAAAAATTATGATTATTTTTAATTATAAAGCATTTAACTTCTTTTTAGTCTTAATTCCGCAAAATTTTACAATTTGTTAACAAAAAGTGAAGTTCAGAAAGAGAGTTTACACGAGGGCAAGGGTTAATAGGTCATATCCTCATAAATGTTAGTGGATGGATTCACGTTTACATTAAAGTTATTTAAACAGAATTGCATCTTGATACTAGAGTTTACCTTCAAGTCATTTTCTAAAGGAGACTTTGTATGGGGGCTAGGGTCAAATGATTGTTAAGAAAATGCAACAGTGATAATTTTGTAGAGATACAAGAACAATTAAAATACTACCCGCCATTCGGGTAGTATGGTTGTACGTAAAGGACCGATTGCGAACATTTTTAATAAACTTCGTCCTTCGTGAAACGTATGTGCCAAATTTCATCAAATTATCGTGAAAATTGCGATCTATATGTAGCGTGCGTACAAGATTTACATGGACACACAGACGGACAGACGGACGGATATAGCTTGATCGACTTAGAAAGTGATTCTACAGGTTCTACACCCACCTTAAAGTGGGTGTTAGAAACATCAGCACTCCTCACTATAGTGGTGTAGGGTATAAATATCTATTGATTGAAATTTTACATTTCTTTGCTTACAATTATCATGTTTATTTTCGAAATGTCGATTTTGTTTGTTAACAAAGCATTATTTTTCGGAATCCTTCTGAAATCCCAATTTATTGCATTAATCATTACTGGCGATTAAAAGAAGAACCATTATGTCAATCTGAAACTCAAGAAATCGTATGTGATGCTCAAACAACTAGACGAATATTTGTGGCTTCATGGTAAATCTACATATTTGATAGGTCCAGATGAGTACTGCAGAAATCGGACATATTACAGGTGACCTCTGCAGAATACAATTGATTCACTTGAAATAAGATACATATATGATCATTCAGGAAGCCTTAATATTACATCATATGAACGTTAGTCCAAATGTTCTTAGATAAAAACTAGGTTGAAATTTGTGGTTGAGAAGTTTTGGGCCGCCCACCTTATAGTACAAATCAAGCCCTCTACGACTACTATTTATTTCGATCAATGTTAAAGGCTGTCACGAGAATAAAGTAATTTGGGTGTCTGGTAGACAAGTTGGTAGTATGTAGTCTATCAGTATGAGGATCGTGCGGCCAGAGTCTCTGGTGTGAATCGAACCCGTAGAATTGGCCGTATAATATGTATAATACATGTATATAAGATGAATTGAAAATAGCATTTAGGTTTGAAAGAGAGTGAATACAAGTTTGCACTGGTTTCATTCCGTATCAATCTGAAATTATACAGTTTATCAAACTCATCTTGAATAACAAAGAATAGACCTTTTCTTTGATCTGAAGAAATCTGATTTCTATATGCTAATTATTTTTGATTTTATAGATAATTATCTTTCTAGAAATTCAACTTATTACATAACCCTACTCAAGACTTCAAGGTGAAACCTTAAGCTCTACCAAACTAATCACTTTTTTAGTATTCTAACCGAAGTTTAATAAGTCTCGATAAGTTGTTATTTCAAATTTTCAATATAAATATTCCGAATTTTCGAGCACAGAAGCCTTAACCGCATGCATTATAAAAAACTATATAAAGTCTATGGAAATGATAGAATCAATTTCAAATGAAAGCAGAGTAAATAAAGTACTGCTCTATTTGGAAAAGCTTCTCGTTGAAAAGTACAATAAAAGAAGTTTACTTCAACACAAAAGTCCCAAAAATACATCCGAAAAAACGCTAATTTTCATTAAAATCTAACCCTCCGCTTGGCTATAATTCGTCTTTTGTCACAAATGTACTTTTTGTAAACGAGAGTGAAGCCAGTCGTCACTTTAGCGTTCCCTTTGTAAGCGAGATCACACAGAGGGAAAAAGAAATATATACGCCTGGTATCAAATTGACACTAAACTGTTTATAATTTTTCAATACCATCTGTTGTCATAGTATACGTATACGTACGATAACACTATGTAATGTTTACAACATTGCAACAATTCGTTGTCGAAATCTAAATTTTATACACATCCGTTGTCTAAATGTTAACAAACGTGGTAAGCTCACTATTGACAAACAATCAGTTGCCAATAGTGAGCTTAACACTTTTGTTAACATTTAGACAACGGTTGTGTATAAAATTTAGATTTCGACAACGAAATCTTACCACATCATTACATAGTGTTGACAACGGATGTTGTTGAAAAATTATAAACTCTTTGGTGTTAATTTGGTACCAGGCGTGTATATTTCCTTTTCTCTCTGTGCACAGACTGTTGTCTCTTTACAGTCTCCAAGTAATCTAGAGAGTGGTCATTGCCATGTATTGACCCCTTTGGACTATCTTTCTGTCTGTATCATCGTAATAGAAGACGATTGACTTCCTCGTAAAACAAGCACATGGTAAAAAAAAACTGTAACTTGGGTAGTTGGTAGCTAAAGATAACTTAAGGTTAAATAGGTTGTTCGGGACTGTCCGACCGAACTGCTGGGATAAAAAATTTATGAGTCTTATAAAAATTCTATAAAAATTCGACCAATTTGACTGACAAAACTGATGAAGACTGGAGTTGAAATTGAATAAAGATCCTTACAGATTTTTGAAGTGCCTTGACTTAAACGATTCTAGTGCCTGGATATGACAGAGTTTGTTGCACGGTAATCACGTTATTTTCTCTCTCTGGGTATTTAGATCACTTCTCTATTATAAAGGGTAAAACAGAAGTGTATTTTTGAATCCATAAACGTTTCATAAATTTGAAATTTCTACTAAATATCCACAAAAATTTATTAAAAACTATTTAATTTTAAATTATATTCTTTCATTTTAACTACAAAATTTTGATGTTTAGATTATGTAGTAGTAATATTTATTGA